CGGCCACTGACCAGCCCCCGCGCGAGGCTCACTCAACGCTCGCGCGTACCCCCTTTTCCCTTTTGCTCGATATTCCGAAAGGAAATGGGCTTTCGCGTATGCGATTGCGCTCGAATCCCCCGCGCGCCGGGCGGGCGCGCGCGCGTGGTCCGCGCAAATCGGCAATGTCAACACGTAAAAATTGTGTGAATGCGAAATAATTGTATCTGCATTATTATGAAAGTCAACAGTTTTGTCGTTTGTATGGTGTTTAAACACAATCTTTGTACAGGTTGTGCGGTTTCATTCAATTTCCATCTCTCTTCAGTCCCGGTGCTGCTTGCTTATTACATCGCAGTTATATCGCGATATTCTGGCCTTTCACAGCTACGGGCCATACGCCCCATACAGACGCGGACAGGCGCTGCAGCAGCATTTTCACTCGATTTTCACTTATTTCCCCCTCGAGTGCCGTCCCGTCCCGGCCCCCGTCCCGTTCGCTTCCGTTCGACGCTGACTCCTCTCTTGCTCTGCCCGCAGGGATGCCACTGGGTGACATGATTCGCTACTCCGAGCCGGCCCGCTACGACGCCGAGTCGCTGCGCCTGCAGCACCGCCGCCTGCGCCGCAGCCCGGGCCGGCCGGACCCGGACCGGCCGGACCCCACACAGCATCTCTCGCTCAACTTCACGGCGCACAACCGGTGAGTACCGACACAAAAAAAATTAGGCAACTTTACTACTACTACTACTACTGCGGGGACTTTGCCTGCCTTCATATGGAAATCAACGTTAACGAAACTAAACCTCCGTGAATCTCACTCGTTTTTTCCGTATCTAAATATGGCACAGAAAAACGTTGTCGTTAATTTGAAATGTGTTTTTTTCTTCTTCAAATGTTACGCGGCAACAGCGTGGAAAATTGGGCTGCCAGTGTTGCGGGCCCCGCGGAAAGTAAAGCAAATTTATGCTACATTGTTTGCCGTTATCCGCAGTGCGCACTTTACGCGTGTATCTGTATCGAAATGCCCGGCGGGGGCCAGACTGTCCCGCCGTAAACAGATCGCCGTCAGCGGCGGAGCAACACGGACGTAACTGGCATTGAATGCGCCAGCAGTTACGGCGCGGTGGTGGTCTGCCCGGCCGGAGATTGGAACCGAATTGAACGGTCGCGACGTGCGGGGTGAGGTGTGGCGGGGCGGGGTGAGGTGGGGCGGCGGGTGTGCCGGACGGCGCCTGGATCACGAGGATGGTGCGAGGCGAGACTCGATTCGCTGTCCCGAACGACTCGACATTGTGTGGCCAGAGTGCCGTGCCGCGCTCATGACGGCGAGAGAGAGAGAGCGAGCGAGAAAAAAAAGAAGGAGTGCGCCGGACATAAAGGGCGATGAAAAATAAAATTATCCTCGGTGCTTGTTGTCGAGCGAGATACTCAAATTTGATTCGGTCGTGGTGGTGGGCTGGGGGAGGGGGGTAGAGGAGGGGGAGGGTATGAAATAGGAGACAAAACGAACACTGTGATGGAGCGTAACAAAAAGCGACTCTGATTGTTATTCTGAAAATAGATTAAAGTAAGATGAGATAAGAAAAGGCGTTTGCCGAGGGAAAAAAATGTCCTAAATTTGCAATTGTTTCAAATTGAAGGTTCGGAAAAAAAAATGTTTCAAGCAGAGTGTAAGAAGTACACCGAAGAAAACCTCCCGCGGTGGCGTTGTGGCGGAGTAAGCGCGGGTAAGGTGAGGATGTTGCTGGCTGTAATAATATCATTCCCAGTGCTTGCTCCGCGCCCATTGTGTGACTCTCGGAACAAACACGCGCGCGGCCAAGGATAATCCTCTTCCTGAGTGTGAGTGTGTGTGAGAGAGAAGGGGAGCGAGTTTGTCGCCCGTGAGTTGTGCCGGGGGCTTAAGGTGCGGTGGCGCGCGTACGGGCCCCCCCCCCCCCCGCGGGGCTTTGCAGGGGCAGCACCCTGGCTTCACCCCCCCCCCTCTCCCTCCTCCTGGGTACTTCTTATTGTGCATTTAGTTTTAAGACGCGGGACGCGGCGCAGCGCGAGGCGGAGGTAGAGGGCCGGATAGAGGCGGGTGGTGAAAGACGGCGCGCGCGCTGCCTGCTCGCTGTTCCAGGAAGGAGGATATGTAAAGAAAATGAGACATGTGAAGGTCGATGGGGCGAAAACAAAAGTCATAAAAGTGCTCATTCCCTAGCAAAACAACCAACATACTAAAAAATAAAAAAAAGTATATCAAATAAATCTTATTCAAAAAATGAAAAATTGACAACGTTGCAGAGACGAAAGCCTTACGAAAGTCACGCAGTCGTCTTGAAATTCCAAGTCGTTTCTCCACCTCCCTCTCGGGCTGGTTGGAGATTGGGGAGGCTCCACTGCTGGGTGAGGAGGGGGGAGCGGGGCGCCCTTAATGGGCCGTGCGTGCGCAACTCGTTAAGCATTGTGCAGCGGGGCGCCAGAGGCGCCGGGGCGCCGGGCGGCCAGTCGGGATAACGAACATCATCTTGTTTGCCAGGAACTTTCGGCTGCACCTGAGGCCCGACACCTCCGTCTTCGCGGACGACGTGGCGTTCGAAGGATCGCGCGGCCCGCTGCACTTCGACCACCACCGGGCGCTCACAGGATCGCTGGAAGGTAAGCAATAGTTTGTATTTTTATTTATTGTATTTTCGTGTATGTTTTCCCATCAATGTTTTAAGGTGTTTTTGTTTTACTTACGTAGAACAGAAAAAGGGCTCATGCTTGCTTCTCCTGATATATTTATTTTTTGGTTTTTGATCCATGAAGTCCATTATTATATCAATGTAAATATAATTTTCATTGCATGACGCTCAAAGTCAAACCATCCCATGTAACGCAACCCTCTTTCTTCCCCCGGGCCATATATAGCAACCTTGGCCTTTCCCTGCCGGAGGCGCGGAATCTTTATTTTTTTTCCTGCTCCTCCTGCTTCTTCTTCTTCTTCTCCTCCGTTCTTTTTAAGGGCCAAACATTGGGCCGCTCCTCGCCAGCGCGCGCGCGCCCGCGTCGCCACCTCCGCTAGGGCGATGCGAATCGCTTTTGTTTGTATTACGCGCTCATTTTCGTGCCGCCCCGTCCCGCCCCGCCCCGCCCTAGACTGTTAGGGCACGGAGCTGGCCCGGCCGGGGCCCAAACAGCCACCTATACCTTTGCTTTATTCCCCCCTGGCCGCGCTGCTCGCTGGCCCGCCCCGCCCTTTTTAAAGGTCTGCCAGCAGAGCTCGTTTCTTCTCCACCCCCTCCCGCCTCTCCTCTTCCCTCCCCTTCCCCGCTAGGGCTAGGAGGGCAAGCCGTCGGTTTGAATGGCCGTGCCACGCTGTTGCGTCCCGACCGGGGCTCGGGGGCTCACAGCTCCATGACTGCCCCGCTGTACTGGCCTGCTGGGTTCAGCTGCTTTAGCTCTTTCTAGCTCCCTTAGCTGCTCCTGCTGCTGCTCCTGCTGACTCTGACATCGGGCAGAAAAGATCTCTGTCCCGGTTGCTTCTCTGGCTGTGGCCGGGTTTCCTTTCATCGGCGGCGCGGAGGCGGGGTCTGAGTTCACTGGTTAAAAGTGAAAAGGGCGTAAGTCCAATGGGAAGTCCGAGGACTTACGCCCTTTTCACTTTTCAGCAGTGACTTTTGTGATTTCGAGTACCATGGCTTCGGCAGCGCAGGCGGCGCTTGTTCTCGCGCCAGACTCCCGCCCCGCCATCCGGCTGGCTCCCCTTAGTGTCGAGTATCGGAACGAGCGAAATAGAGAGGCGGCCAGGGCGGAAGCTTTGGGACGCCTTTCTTCGAGGCCCCTTTCTAATGATTTCTGCATTATTGCTTTGCAGGCGAGGAGGGCACGCTGGTGCAGGGCGTGGTGACGGCGGACGGGCTGTTCGACGGCACCGTCCTCACGGCCGCCGAGCACTACCACATCGAGCCGGCGGCGCGCTACATCCGGGACGCGCCCTTCCACTCCGTCATCTACCGCGCCTCGGACGTGGTCGCCCCCAAGCTAGACGGGGGGTGCGCCTCGCAGCGGCTGCACGAGCGCAGCGTGCACGAGCACGAGCACGTGCCCGAGCCGCGCAGCCGGCGGCGGGAGCGCGTCAAGCGCTGGTGGGTGCCGGTGACGCGCCAGGGCCACCGGGTGCGCGGCCGGCACTCCAAGGCGCACGACGCCGCCGTCCCCGAGCCGCCCGAGCCGCCGGACCTGGACTACTCTGACGTGGACGCGGTCGGGGACGGCGCGGGCCTGGACCGCAGCGAGGAGAGCCTCGGCGACCTCAGCGCGCACTCGCCCATCCGACCGCGCGCGCCACAGGAGCCCCAGGACGCCGTCAGGCCGCAGGCGCCCGCCAAGACGGTGGACCACGGCGGCGGCGACGTGCGGGAGACGTCCTCACTCGAGGACTTCAGCGAACCCTACAACACGTACAACCTGCACAAGCACCACCACAACAGCGGCAACTCGGTGGACGTGTTCAGCGGCAAGTCGGAGCAGAACGCGACCGGCCGGTCCCTGGAGGCGAACAGCGCGCTGCCGGAGAGCACCAACAAGATCGTGCTCTACAACCACACCATCCTGATCAGGCCCAAGCAGCCGGGCGACCGCGACGTGGCCACCGCGACCAACCACATCGTGCCGCCGCAGACGGTGGGCGGCGCGGGGGCGGGCGCCGACAGCGTGTCCAAGGTGCTGTCGGGCTACTACATGCCCGAGGACGACCCCCGCCACTTCAACAAGCGCGCCACCACCATCGACCCCAAGAAGACGACGTGCATGCTGTACCTGCAGGCCGACCACCTCTTCTTCCAGAAGTACGGCACCGAGGAGGCGTGCATCGAGGTGATGACGCGCCACGTGCAGCGCGTCAACGCCATCTACCGCACGACCGACTTTAACCAGGACGGCAAGGCGGACAACATCAGCTTCATGATCAAGCGCATCAAGGTGCACACGACGGAGGCGCTCAACGACCCGGCCTACCGCTTCCCGGACAACTACGGCGTGGAGAAGTTCCTCGAGCTCTTCTCGGAGGAGGACTACGACGCCTTCTGCCTGGCGTACATGTTCACGTACCGCGACTTCGAGATGGGCACGCTGGGCCTGGCGTGGACGGGCGACCTGAAGAACGCGGGCGGCGTCTGCGAGAAGAACGGCCACTACCGGGGCAGCCTCAAGTCGCTCAACACGGGCATCGTGACGCTGCTCAACTACGGCAAGCACGTGCCGCCCGCCGTGTCGCACGTGACGCTGGCGCACGAGATCGGCCACAACTTCGGCTCGCCGCACGACCCGGAGCTGTGCACGCCCGGCGGCGAGGACGGCAACTTCATCATGTTCGCGCGCGCCACGTCGGGCGACAAGAAGAACAACAACCAGTTCTCGGCGTGCAGCCTCAACAGCATCAACCCCGTGCTCAACGCCAAGGCGCGCAGCGCCAAGGGCTGCTTCACCGAGCCGCAGACGGCCATCTGCGGCAACGGCGTGGTGGAGCCCGGCGAGGAGTGCGACTGCGGCTGGGAGGAGGACTGTCGCGACAAGTGCTGCCACCCGCAGCGCCGCTACCCGCCGCCGGGCGAGCCGCCGTGCCGGCTCACGCCGCGCAGCCTGTGCAGCCCGTCGCAGGGCCCGTGCTGCACGGCCGAGTGCGGCCTGCGCTACGGCGACAAGTGCCGCGACGACAACGGCTGCCGCGACTCGAGCTTCTGCGACGGCCGCGGCCCGCACTGCCCGCCCTCCGTCAACAAGCCCAACAAGACCATCTGCAACGAGGAGTTCGTCTGCTTCATGGGGGTGAGGAGCCGTTTGGCTTTTTATTACTGTTTCCTTCGCCGCCACCACCACCACACCCACTTGCCGGGCGTTGTTACAATGTATTTTTCTATCCTTTTCGCAGGAGTGCACCGGATCCATCTGTTTGGCGTATGGCTTGGAGTCGTGTCAGTGTATACCTGGACCAAACGACCCACCGACTAAGGCTTGTGAGCTGTGCTGCAAGCAGCCGGGTGACAACAACCCTTGTTTGTAAGTTTTAAACCGTAAATTGGAATGCTCATTTTTGTACTTTTATCAAAGTGAATTTTGTTAATTTTGACACGTTTCCGTTTTTTTAAACGCAGATCGTCGTTCTTGTGGAATTCCGCTCCTTATGATGTGCCTGACATGTTCTCTAAACCTGGTACTCCATGTAATGACTATAATGGCTACTGTGATGTCTTCCAAAAATGTCGTGAGGTGAGTGGACTTCAGAAAAGTCTTGCAACAAATATAAGTCTGTTCGACGAGTTTCTTTACTGTATTCTCTGTATTTCAGGTTGATCCATCTGGACCTCTCGCCACTCTACGAAAGCTACTATTGTCAGAGGAGAGCATTGCCAGTTTCAAAAAATGGATTTGGTACAATTGGTACTATGTGCTGATGATTTCACTGGTAGCAATCTCTATTTTGGTAAGTTTATGGTGCAATTACTCATTTTTAAAATTTCTCTAAATCAACAATTTAATGTGGACTTATTTTACCTAGCAGTTTTATTTTCTATCTTCTTGACAATTTCATATATATTTTTTAAATGTTTGACTAGTTACATCTTCAATTTAGTCAAAAAATTTGCATGCTCTTCTTTTTTAATTTTATTTTTACCCCCTTGTGTGGTTATGTGCAATGGTGACAGCAACACCGAGTCAGGCGAAGACTTTTCGGTGAGATGTCAAACCCCTTCTCACAGGCAGTCATTGCACTTTTTAACAATTTGCGATCTGCCCGTCACTTTTTCCTGTATCAGAGCACAATTCTTAGCGGTTGGCCCTGTTTCCTGTTACCCCCTGCCCTATAAAAAAATGCCCAATCCGCGTAGCCATGATGTTTTGTAGAAGATTTTTTTACTGCGTAATAGAACTTGTTTTCGTTTTATCTGACCCTGTGCGTTTGTCCTTGCAGTACTTGAGCGCAAAGCTGCTGACCAAGTCGCCCGACCCCAAGATGCTGTCGGTGACCATCATCCACAGCTCGACCACGGAGACGGTGCGGCTGCCCGGGGAGGGTCCGGGCGGGGGGACGGGGGGCCAGCCGACCATCGTGCACCCTGCGGCGGCGCGCAAGCTGCCGCTCAAGCGGCGCGTCCGGCTGGACCGGAGGCGGCGCAAGGAGGGCCGGAACAAGACGGCGCCGGCGCCAAGCGGGCCCAGCGCGCCGACGGCCCAGCCCAGCTCGTCTGCACCTGCGGCCTCCCCTAGCGCGGCCGCGGCCGGCGCCAGCGCCAGTGGGGCCGACGCCGCGGCCATAGCCGCCTCACTGGCGGCGGCTGCCAGCGCCGGCCGCGCCAAGAAGAGGACCCTGGGGCTCAGCAAGAAGGTAAGGCAGGCAGGGTAGGGCGCCGGCCCGCCCGAGGCGCCTGCGGGCCGAGCGGATAGGCAGACCCGCTCGACACGACTGTCGCACGGTGTGGCCTATCTTGCCGACGGCAGGCGCTTGAGGCACCGACAGGGCTGTTTTTTGGTTTTGTTTTTCGTTGCTTCCTGCCCCTCCCTCCGGTGCTATTCACCGAGTGCGTTACGGTTAAATGTCTAAATGTTCTAGCACATTAATTTATTTGAATTTTTCTTTCCAAAATTCGTTCAACATTCTTCAAAAAAAAATTATCAGATTAGTGTGACATGTTTCACAATTTTATGGACGAAAAGTGTCTCTATGGGTGCTGTACTAACCCCGTTGTCTGTCCCCCAGGCCGGCACCTCTAGCGCAGCCGAGGCGGAGGTGTGCGAGGCGGCGCCGCACTCGCCGCGCAAGGGCTCGTCGCGGACCAAGCACGGCCCGGCCACCAAGCTCAACGTGAAGAAGGCGGCCAAGCGCGCCAAGAAGGAGGTGATCGACTACAGCGCCAAGCAGAGCCCCAGCTGCAGCGAGCAGGACAAGATGCTGGGCCAGAGCCCGCTGGGGCAGAGCCCGCTCGCGCTCACGCCCAGCGACGACCCCATGGGCAAGGTGCACAACTGGCTGCTCAGCTCGCAGCTGCAGCAGCGGCACGAGGCGGCGGCTGAGCTGCCGCAGCCGGCGCAGGCAGCTGTCGCGGACCCCGCCGCAGCTGCGGGGCCGGCCAAGTCCAAGGCCAGCCCGGAGGCGGCGGGTCAGCCGCGGCGCAGCCTGGTGCAGCCGACGGGTCAGCTGGACGCGGACAAAGTGCGCCTGCAGGTGCTGTACAAGACGCCCTTCAAGTTCCGGCTCAAGCTCAAGGGCTCGGGCCCGACGGGCGTGACGACCAAGCTCAGTGCCGACCGGGTGCGCAAGCTGCCGCCCACGCCGCCCGCAGAGGACCAGGGCGCCGCGGCCCGCAAAGTGGTGGGGGGAATAGCGGGCCCGCGCACGGCCATGCTCGTACGGACTAGAGAGTCGGGCAGCGGCAGCAACAACAACCACCACAGGAAGTCGCGCAGAAAGGACCCGTGCGAGCCGCTGCCCTCGCCGCCGGCCCCGGTGCTGCCGTCGGCGCCCCCGCTGACGCAGCTGACGCAGCTGACGCAGCTGACGCAGCTGGCGCCCGCCCCGGCCGCGCCCGAGTGCCCGCCTACGCCACCCAGGGAGGTGGACATCGACTCCAACATCCACACGGTGCCCTCGGACCTGGAGGGGCTGCTGTCGGAAGTGGGGGCCAACCCGGGCAAGAGGGCGTGAGCTCAGCTGCGGTCGGGCGCTCTGGAGGGCTCTGGCGCGCTCGACCGCTGGTTAGGACTGTCGAGTTTCCTTTTCGTGTAAATGATATGTACAAATATTGATCTGGGGAAAGATTAACGCCAATAACATGAATATTTTTTAGTTACGAAAACAATGGAATCAATAATTGTGGGGGAGTGATGTAAAGAAGCCTACCAGACTTAGTCAGTCTGAACCTTTGCAAGGATCTGTGTCTGCATTAGTCAAATGTCTATGTCCCTTTGGGACTTCAAATAGGCGCTATTAGCGCTTCTTTATCATCCAAGTGTTTTGTTGTATTGTTTAACAAGTGATTTGTATGCTTTTGCTTTCGAGAGCAAAAGAACGCAAGCAAGAGCCAACCAAATCCAAAACTTTCTTTAATTTTTTTGGAAAATATGTGTGCTTGCGTGTGTGAGTGTGTTTGTCTGTATGTATGAATATTCAATATTCAGAATTTTTGCTATTTCTATTCTTATAAAGATAAATTATTTAAAAATATGACATTTTATGGTCAGTGCTTCAAACTGATTTACTCTCTGTCTTGTAATGTGAGGCAAAGGTTACCATGTGATATTTAAAAGCCTACTCAGTCCATCTAATCAGTGTGAGTACCAGCTTTTCTCTAATTAGCTGTAAGGCAGCTGAGGCCAAACTTATTTGTAGTATTGTCCTAAATCTGACTGAACTATTATCTTGACCCCTGGCAATCAATTCTCAGCACAAGATAACGATCATTTTGTGCAGTTCCCCTTATGTCATTGCTCTTGCTCCTCTCTTGCAGAATTTCATATCAAACTTGTTATATATTTATTTGCATTTTCTAGAAAGTCATTGTGATCTTAGTTTTCTTGTATTTGTTGAATATCAAAGTGATCTTGTTTGTGACATTCCTTATTAGGGTCTATCTTGTAGGCCTAGAACTCTATGAACTTTTTAAGTTGCTTACCCGCTCCAGCTTTGGTTTGCTCTCTATTTGCCTTTCTGGAGCATAAATGCTTGTACTTAACTACCTCATTGAAGAACAAAACTGTTGTGGAGTCTTGGGGTATTGGATGATGAATTTGACTATGCGAGAATTTGTTTACAGTTATCTTGTATTTAGACTTTGCTGGTTCTTTATCTTATCATTGTGATTTGAGTTTGATTTGTCAGTTTTGTTATCAACTCTGAACTCCCGCTACCCTGTTTTAAAAAGTATATCTCTCATACCTCCTTCAAATAGTGCCAATAATGTGACTCTTTGTGAGAAATGAGTGAATGAAATAATATTTTGTGGCAAAGTTCAAAGTGCCAAATTTCCCCTAATTTCAATTTTGTTTGTCAGTTTGTTTTTCATTAATTCTGAATCATTGTGCACTCATTCATTTGCTCTAGTGTGATCTCACTCAGAGTTCATCATACATTAATGTGATTTGGTATCTATTAACTGTGGAAGAGGAAAGAAGCAAGTCAACTTTGTTGATGTGATCACGTTCAAGGTGTATTTTAAGTTTGTTGTGTTTGCTGATTTTCTGTATAGAATTTGAGCATATTCTGTTTGTGATATTAGTTTTCTCTTTTTTAAGACTAATTTTTTTATGTTATTTTTAATATTATTATTTATGAAATGTCCTGTGTAAGAAATGATCTGACATGTGTTAACAACAACCAAACATCCACAATTTAGTGAAATGCTCAAAATTTAATTTTGAATCATTCATTAGTACAGCGTTGCTTTTCAATTTTGAGCTTTTCTCCCTGTCTCAATTATCCATGTCAATCAGTGTTCATAGTATCACTGAATCATATTGCCCTGACCTTTTTTCAGACTGAAATGTTTTTGATTCATTTTGATCACAACATCCTATCTCTTGATATTCAGTTCTCTTTATTAATTATATGTTTGTGTCTAAAGTGTAAGCTCACATTGATATCAAGTATCCTACCTAATTTGTTCTGTGCTCAAGATGTCATGTAAGTGAGAAGGGATTTTTTTAATCTACTTATTGTTTCCTTGCGGTGTTCTTAAGTCACATTCATAACAAGATTTAATCTAATTTCTACCCTAGTTCAGCACTGCAGTTTTGTGTAAGTACTTTTTCTAGAGAACTAAGCACTGCCTTGTAAGTCTGTGCTTTTGTTGCAGTGAAGTTCACTGTGGAAAAACTGCCATCTTTTAAAACATACAACTCTCTTTGTGCAACGTATGACAATATAATTATGAAAATGACAAGCTTCCTGCTTCTCTTTTTCGGCTTCTGTGACTTTATGATTATTGTGAGGTAATTTGGAACCTTGTCAATCGAAAGCTCATTGCATTTGGTAAGAACTGAAGTCCATATTCAAGTGAGCTCTTGTGCCTTTCTATCAATTTGATGATGAAGCTAGTGGAGCAGGATGCAATGAGTCATGTGCCAGTGAACCAAATCATGTTCCGTCTGTTTCTTGATTTGATGATGAATGTAGGATTATCTCTCTTACAATTGATGTTAAAAGTATTTTTGTATAAGCTAGAGTTCAAATTATTTCAGGGTCATGCACATCACATGACAGAACTGGGGTGTTCCCCATGATTATCACGCATAGAACATTAAGTAGGAATTTATCTCCATATCTCGAAGGAAACTAAGGTACTGTAAAGTTTTGTGTAAAATATTTCATTTTTCAGTAGTTTTCTCTCATATGTTAATTTTTTTATTTCAAAAATCTTGAAAATTATTATTACTAGAAGGATGCTTGTGTATATCAGTCCACCATACCATAGGTTGGAAAAATTCAGATTTACTTTGGAAATTACGAAAAACAATAGTTGACCTACTTTTGCTGCAGTTTGTTTTCTTCCAAATAGATGAAATCCGTCTTTGAGAAAATTAAATCTGATGTTCTGTACACTTTTGAGATAATTTGGACTTTTCCATTAGGAATCCTGCCAAACCAGTGCCAAGCCATTAAGATCATGTACCAGTTAACAGTGGCTTTGATGCTTATAATCTTTATGACCATAGGAAGAATTAGAGCTTGGCAACATTGTTCTGAAAGCGCTGTGCTGTGCCAAATAAACCTTTTTAGTCCGTGATTCAAGAGTTATGGAGATTACAATTTTTTCAAAAGACTTCTGGTGTTTATTGATTGAGATGTTAGTTACATGTAAAAAATTGATTATCTGACTTCATACTTATTTGAATTGAAATATTGCCACTGATATATTTTGTTTGCTGCTAACTCATCAATCTGTGACTTTTACTCTGGAGTATTTATTTAGTGATATTTTGATGAAACAAGTTTCATCTCTAACTCAGTATAACCAAGGATCTCACCTTCTCACCATTGTGAGGCTTGTGACATACCTCTGTTTAAAGAAAAAACTAATTCGTAATTTATAAAATCCTGTACACTCTAAGGCAAAAATATAAAGTAACTGTGTTATTGAAGCGGCCGGTTTTATTTCACACCCTCCTCGATTCACTGGAGAGCTCTTCACAAGGGGACGCACTTGCCCTTGTTGGCCTTGTCCTTCTTGAAGCCCGCCTTGCAGATGCACAAGTCCGGGCCTGAGCACACGCCGTTCTCGCAGCCGGCCGCGCACTTGGGCACGCACACGTTGGCGGGGCCCGAGCCCATCTGGTAGCCCGCGCGGCAGGTGCAAGTGTCCGGCCCCGTGCAGTCGGCGTTGAAACAGCCCTGTAGGGTTGAAAAAATTTTGGCGAACGGCTTTAAAACAAATTAATTTAGTTCACATCCATTTTCTTGCCGATTTGCAGCTGGCCTCGTAGGTTGGTGAAGGTGCGGTTTAAATCCAATATTTCAGAGGTTTAAATTGAAATGGAATAGGCCACGGTTGGTTTTAGTTGTTTTAGAGCTGGGTAATTTTGCCCCAAGGTTTTCAAAAAAAAATTAGAAAATTCATTTTTAGTATCACTAGTGCACCTCAACAATCTGGGAAAAATCTGGGTGAGATTTGGCAAAAATTGTAGTTTTTGACTTTGCAAAAAATTACCCAAGCTCCTAAAATCTACCCCAGACCTCACTTTGACCCCATCTTAAGTTTTTTTATATAAACCAGTTTTTCATGCTGATTAAAACTAGCTAGAGCATGATTAAACTGGGTAACAGCAAGTTACTTTAGCTTGGATCACCTCACACACAGGCACACCAGTTTTATTTCGATTCAAAGAAGGGTCCTAAGGGAAAATTCGTAGAACACCGATTTCTCGGAAACT